AAACAAGTCTAGACAAAATTTCATCACAGCTTGAAAGAGCATCACAAAATTAGTAATATTCCAAAGTTTCGTTGCGAAATGTTGTAAAATGCGGATAATATAGCCTTGCGAAGTTTGCCGTTTTTCAGTCATTTTGTATTACAAACGGGAAATTGATGCCCCAACACCCGATTGGGCTGTCAATTTCCTGTGCGTAATACAAAATGACTGAAAAACGGCAAACTTCGCAAGGCTATATTATCCGCATTTTACAACATTTCACAACGAAACTTTGGAATATTACTAATTTCGTGATGCTCTTTCAAGCTGTGGTGAAATTTTTGTCTAGATCAAAATTTAGTCTATAATGCAAATGGTCCATTCTAATGTTGGAAAGTGCGTACATTTTAGAAGTATTAACACCAAGTAATATAAACAGGCCAATTACCGCTGTTCAGTAGGACTGTAGTAAAAACAACAACGTTGAGCCACAGAGTAGAGACATACAGAGACGTAACTAGTGTACCCACTTTTTTTGTGCGCATGCTCGGCAAGTTACTAGATGCATGCATCTGATTGGATGATGACCTGACGACTCACTTTAAACTTGCTGAGCACGCGCAGTAGATCATTTTTCGCCCGGTCGCTTGAAAAAAAGTGGGTACATGATAACGTAATCTTCCGCAGTGTTTACAACGGTCAGTTACGTCTCTGTATGTCTTATCTACTCTGTGGTTGAGCGTACGTTTTATTCAATCAACTGAAGCGAGATATTTAGTGAAATTTCTTTTGTATTCTTGATGATGATAAACTTTATTTAACCACGCTAACATTGTCAGCAGAAGCTGGTTTCCACAATGGGCGTGTAAAAAACATTAACAAATTGTTACAAGTAAAATAATAAGGAAGTATTAACATGCAGAATATAAAATTATTAAAATATATACAAAAAGTTTGCTATTTACAATAATGTGGTTTTCTTTATAAGCTATAGGTAGCGATTTTTCTTTTAAAACTTGAGAGCGAATTACTTTCTCTTATATTTTTTGGAAGAGAGTTCCATATGGAAGCTCCATAATACATGAAACTCTTTTTCATATTGTTTGTGTTTGGCTTGGTATGGTACTTGAGCTGTTACGAAGACTGCGGTTTAATATTTCTTTTTTGAAAGTAAATAATTCTTTGAGACAATTTGGCGCCATGTTATTTAGCGTTTTAAACATTATTTTTGCCTTTGCTTTTTTTTTTTTAAATTTTTTTATTGAGTTATTGTTTGTTTTTTTAGTTATTGTCGCGATCGAATAACAAAGAAAAACCCCCGACAAAGTGGCGAACCCGAGCAAGATTTTAACATCGAAAAGCAGCGAATATCGTACGTGAAATATTAATCGTGTTTAGCTAAAAGTGAGACCAGAGAAAAATCAATCGTTAAAGATGTTAACCGTGAAAGATTTGTTGAATAAAGTCGAAGGTAAGCTTCGAATGCTGAAATTTACAAGTGATGAGACCCCTAGTGTTTTGGAAGAGAATAAACAAAAACAAATTGAGAGACATGCCAAAGTTTTAGAATCGTTAATCGAGAAAGTTCATGAATTAAAAGAGAGAGAGAGAATTGAGAAAGGGAATGACCCCACGGAAGTTAGAACATGGAGCCGTGACCTAGAACAGACAGTACTTGAGTTTGAAAATGTTATCAGCGAAGTGAAACAGCAGCGTGAGAAACTGTGCGTAATAGAACTCTAGAAAGCTAAAAATAAGGAGACAGAAATTGAAGAAGAAAAGCGTAGGAAGCGTTATGATGAAGAGATGGCACTAGATGAGGCTAAACTGGAAATGAAACGAAAGTTTGAAAAAGGATTAGAGGAGGTTATCTGGAAAACGCGTACATGGGAAACGCGTACATGGAAAACGCGTACATGGAAAACGCGTACATGGAAAACGCGTACATGGAAAACGCGTACATGGAGAACGCGTACATGGAAAACGCGTACATGGAAAACGCGTACATGGAAAACGCGTACATGGAAAACGCGTACATGGAAAGCGCGTACAATGTTCATTTGTAACGTTAACTAAAACTTGGCGGTTTTATTGGAATTTCTCCTGCAGACCTAGTGATTGTGTCAATGATGGTCAGATCATGGCCTCCGTGAAGGGTAACTTCACAGTGGACTACGTAATGTTTAGTACTTTCATTGTGTTCCAACATGCGTCCAGAAAAAGCAGCCGTATTTCCAACTACCTCACGCTATTATCCCATGCACGTAAGATAATACAATACAATACAATACAATACAATACAATACAATACAATACAATAAAAATTTATTTATCCACGGTGGAATCTTCAGTATATATATACAAGTTTAAGCATGCAAAAATAAATAAAAGAATATGATCTACTGGTTTACAAGATTGCCGTGTGGGAGTTCATCTAAACTATTATAATACTTGTTTACAGCTTTCCGGAACTGAGCAAACGATTGGAGCATTCTTATATTTTCGGGAAGGCTATTCCACAGCACTACTCCACTGTACTGAAAGCTTCGCTTCAGATAATTAGTTCGTGGCTTGGGTAGATTTAATTTCATTTCAAAGTTCCTAAAATTATATTCTGAGCCACGAACTGAAAAAAGATTTTGTAGATAGGTAGGTGTGTCACCTTTGAGTGTTTTGAACATCAAGCCAGCTTTAAGTTTTTTGCGTCTCAACGATAAGTTATCCAAGTGTAAAGTATCAAGAAGCACAGTAGCATTGGTGTCATAGCTGGACCTCGTAATGACCCTGACCGCCCGGTTCTGTAATTTTTGTAGTTTAGAACTTAGCGTTTCGCCAAGACCATCCCAGACCGAGCAGCAGTAGTCAAAATGAGGTTGAATCAGTGCTTGGTATACTTGGATAGCCGTGTTCGTTGAAATGCAGGATCCTATACGTTTTAAAGCCCCTATGGCTGAAGCAATTTTTTTACATAGTTTATCAGTATGCTCAGACCACATAAGGTGATTATCAAAATGGACACCCAGAGATTTTACCGAAGTAACTTGGTTGACCATATTACCGTTTATCTCAATATCTATTTCATTATTGAGATATGAATGAAACCAGGTAAGACTGTTTTCGTCAATACCATAATTTTTAAGCTTTTGCAGGATAATTTGATGATCGATCGTATCAAAAGCTTTCTTTAAATCAATAAATACAACTCCGTTAATTAGGCCATTGTCAATATTCATGGACCAGTCGCTTGTGGCTTAACGCTGTTAGGGTACTATGAAACGGTCGAAATCCAGATTGGCGTGTGTTCAGCAAATTATTTGAATCAAGATACCCATGTAGTTGATCGAAAATGATTTTTTCAAAAATTTTAGCAACACATTGCCTGGGTTATTTCTTGTGCCACTCTTAAATACTGGCGTTACTCTGCTTGCCTTCCATTCATACGGGAATATTCCGGTATTAATAGATGCAGTGAATATTCCTGTTAACGAGGGTGCAATAACACTTGCAGCTATCTTTAGGAATTTGTTTGGTATATTGTCCAAACCAGCTGACTTCTTATCATCTAATGTAGTCAGCAGTTGATAAACTGTTAACGGGAGGGAGTTTTGAGAGAGAAAGATTTATCAGTTGGTTTAAGATAAAATACTGGATCACGCACAGGAGCAGGAATATCGGAAGCAAGTTTTTCCAATTCCTGAGAAGTAGCTGTTAAATGTTTCAGCTATTTCTTCAGGTGCAGTTATTTCTCGCTCTTCAAAATCTAATTGTGTTATCTTTTTAGTTTTGCTTACATTTCTAGAGCTTAGTTCATTTAAAAGGTTCCATGTTTTTTTCATGTTGCCTTTACTCGATTCAAGATTGTTCTTATAATAAGCTTGTTTAGTTTTTTTAATTTCATTATTAATGTGATTTCGAGTATGTCGATATTGATGCCAGATTTTAGGATCATTGGATGTAACAGCTTTCTTTTTTAGGTAATCTCGGCTAAATATCTGGCGTCTTAAATCTTTTGTAATCCAGGGAGATTTTCTATTTCTAATTCTTCTGGATCTAAGTGGTGCGTGCTTATTTATGGTTTTCATGAGCATTTTTTTCCAGACATCAAACATTTCGTTAGGGTCCTGGGAGCAATAGACACTATCCCAATGGTTTAGTTCAAGATCGCTTAGAAACAATTCTCTGTTGAAGTTCTTCATTGTTCTAGCATCTATCGTTCTGGGGCCCCCTCGTATATAGTTAGCCTTATACGTATCATATATATTAATGAATAGTCATGCAGCAGTAATTCTTGTCGGTTCGTTTATTAATTGTTCGACATCGTATATATCAAGTATTTCTTTTACTTTATTCTTGCTCGCTGACTCGGTTGTTGGGGTAAAATCAACATTTAAATCACCAAGCAGAAAATACTCTAAATTTTCAGCATCGAACGATCCAATCATTTGCTCGAATTCGGCAAAGTAACTAGTAGGTAAATCTGGAGGTCTATACCATGTACTAACCAGGATAAACTTAGATCGTGGTTTCTTAATTTCTACAACTAGATTTTCGAGAGTTTCAGATTGTAGATTATGTCGTATTTTGTAATTAATATTACTTTTAATGTAACGTCGGTCTCTTCGAATGATTTCAAAATTTGGTATATGGATTTCATTGTCATTAATTGATGAATCAAGTTTGGTCTCATTAATACATAATATGTCTACTTTATTATTACTCATAAATACTCGTAATTCATCTATATGGGCAAATAAACGATTTATATTCAAACATGCCATAGACATGCCCCGATGAAATGGTATTTTTTCTAAATTATATAATGAGATATTTGGATAATTTGATTCGTTTGACTCACCCAAGGTTATCGACGATTGGTCATCTATACTTGGCTGTATTTCAGTATTAACTACAGGCTCCCACACGGTGTTGTCTTAATGTTTCCAATTATAAATAAAATCAGTAAATAATGCCACTTCTTCGCAATGAACATTGGAGATTCATTTGAGAAGCCATATAAACAACTCGAGCTCGTGTCTCACCGGGATATCCAAACACTCGAAAACAATGTATGAAAACACTCGCGCTTCGCGCTCGTGCTTTCATACATTGTTTTCTCGTGTTTGGATATCCCGGTAAAACACTCGCTCTCGTTGTTCATATATTACATCACACATTCGGAAACCTCGCAATCCAATGAAGAAACTATGCACTGACGCTTATTGAAAATTATCTATTATTTTAAATTGTTAAGGTTTTCTTTAGCATATAGTTTATATATCATTTATAGACCCGAAGCGAGGGGGATTCGGCGGAATATTAGCCGAAGTGATGATATTTGCTGCCTCGTAGAGGCAGCACACTATTCTTGACTACGCGGTGTTTCTCCAGAGTCCACTCGACCCAGTCTTTCGCGCGATCTATGTATTGTCAAGATCTCGATCTTGTGTCTGTCTGTCTGTATGTATGTAAAGATGTCGTAATCCGGGGGGAATAATTAAGCCTCGAGAACGTTTGTTAAATGAGGGGAGCGGTCAGAAACAAGATTTTGTATTGCGCACGCAACTCCATGTGCACAAGAATCAAGATTTTACAATTGGTTTTATACAGGCTTTTTATACGGATGCAAGTTATCGAAAATTTTCGGAAAAATTCAGGTAAGTATGGCTCTATTTCTTTCTTCTGAAATACATCAAGGCGATGACCTTTTTAGTGTTCAATCTAGAGGCAAACAATGTGCTTTTATGAGTTTATCTGCAATTTTAACTGCTCAAAGTATTCCAGTGATCGATTGGTCGAAAACAACATTGAATAATGTCTTATTACAAGGAGACAAAATGTATTTGCAAGCTGTGGATAATGGCTTTGTTGTCTTAGAACCTGGTGTCGAATTCCTATCTGTAGATAACTTACCTAAAATTGTCAGTGTTTCAAGTTGTACGAACATGTTTTCTTACGAGATATGCGATTCTGTCATCGACACAAGTAATATATCATCTGTAGTGCATGCGAAAACAACTACAACACCTATGAATCCCTTTGATACACAAATTAACGTTGAACTACCCATGGTGGTAGGACAAAACAGTAAAAGTGTACCCATGGTGGTACAACAAAATCATAACAGTCCACCTATGGTGGTAGGACAAAACAGTAACAGTCTACCCGTGGTGGTAAGACAAAATAATAACAGTCCACCTGTGATGGTAGGACAAAACAGTAACAGTCTACCCGTGGTGGTAAGACAAAATAATAACAGTCCACCTGTGATGGTAGGACAAAACAGTAACAGTCTACCCATGGTGGTAAGTCAAAATAATAACAGTTCACCTGTGATGGTAGGACAAAACAGTAACAGTCTACCCGTGGTGGCAAGACAAAATAATAACAGTCCACCTGTGATGGTAGGACAAAACAGTAACAGTCTACCCGTGGTGGTACGACAAAATAATAACAGTCCACCCATTGTGCTAGAGCCCGTTGAGGCACAAAATAACATTGAACTACCCATTGTGGTAGAGCCTGTTGAGGCAAAAAGTATCACTGATCTGCCCATTGTGGCAAGGGGTAACACTGATCTATCTATTGGTGTAGAGCACAATTCTGTGGTGCCTAATGAGGAAAACAATAAAAACCAAATTTGGTTTATAAATTATGGAAAAGAGCTTCAAGGTCTTGTTATAA